TTTTACTTTTAATGTAAGTACCACAAAATTTAAAACCACCCGTATGGTTCATATGGTATTTCTATTAGACACAATCAATTTCAAGACGGTTAGTCCTTGTATTGTGCTGGGCAGTGTGCCAAATATTTTGTATAACACTGACATCGGCGCTACAACAACGCATGATGGCCTAGCTTTACCGGATCCCTGCCTAAGAGACTAGGTCCATTAAATCAATAATGGATGCAGCTGGGATTTAACACTTGGTGTTTCTGCGAAGAAAATTCAAAAGGGGACTGCAAACAATTACGTTTGCATAGGAAAAACAACAGAGATAAATGCCAACTTAAAACCCTGAACTGGCAAACCAAACGCCAGTTCTCTAAAAAAGCTACCAAGCAAAGTCAGTCTTACAGAAAGCTAAAGCTTCTTGGAGGCTGCAGAGGGCAAGCAGCCTCCAAATCGAGGACATCGCCCCTCCAATGTGACCTGAGCCCTGCAGAGCGATGCACACGCACTCTCCCCACGCAGCGCGCCACCCCGCAACCCCAGTAGCTCCGGTGTCCCCACCCAGGATCAGGGGAAGTGGGACCTGCAGAGCTAGGGAAGCAGAAGAGAAAGGGTAAGGGGCGGTTGGCGGCAGGCACCTGAGACCGAAGATGACTCCAGGTTCTTAACGCCGGATCATCACCAAGACCCCACCCGGCTCCCTCGGCTACCAGCGACCCCCAAGTGGAACTGACTCAACACTCCCCGGACACGCAGCTATGGCAACTTGAACTAGCCGCCCAGCCGCAGCGAGAGCTCAAGACGCGCCGCCGCCGCTTGGCCCTCTGGGAGCTGTAGTCCATCCCGCTCGCCAAAGCAAGGAGGTACCCAGCAGGGGCAGCCTGAGAAACTGCAAGTCCCAACATGCCGTGCGGCGGGCCTTCAGGTGCCTTTCCGGAAGAAGCAGGTTTAGCCGTCTGCAAAATCCCTGGGCCGCGCCCTCTAGCCCCGCTCTAATTTTGTTTTATTAAAGGGCCAGTAACCTGTGATGAACCAACTCCTGGTAGAAAGTGAATTCAAATGCTATCTTGGCACTGACAGTTATTTAAACTCTTTGCGGAATACCAAAGGATAATTTCCAGTGAATCGTAAAAAATCAACTTGATGTCTTGTTCCTAAGACAAAGTCAGGACTAGAGGAGTGGAAAGCTATCTACTGAAACTCTGCATACTGGGAAGAGTAAATGACTTGATCGTACAACTCAGGTGACAAACCACAAATACAGTAAGGGGCTATTTTTTACAACTATGTTACTCATTCTAAAACACGAAATATTCTCCACTCAGGGAAGTCAGTTTCAGTCATGAAGAGGAAATAAAAACCTCAAAAAAGAAAGGGGTTTGGAAAGGCTAAGAAGTGAAAATCAAATTGGGCACGTGGATCAGGGATAGACTTTTTCCTTTTACTCTGCCAAAAAGGCCACTGAACTGACCCTCCTCAAAGCAAAGGCTATTTCATATCCAATTTGAACATGAAACATTCTTTGAAAGACCTACCTAAGTGCTTACATCTACAAGCTGCTTGCTCTAGAATACACTACACCTGACACAGACAATTCAGAATAGTACAAGTGACTTCTGCACAGGCACAATGACTCTATTTCTTAACAGCTTAGTTTTACAAAATAACTACTCGTTCATATTCATAATCATAGCATATATATGAATACATATACATATTCATAGCAAATATGTATGTTGAATCCTTATAGGATCCAGACACAAGAAACAAAGATAATGTCGGGATTAAAAATAACATAGACCTTTCCTGTAACTCATTCAGAGCCAAGGAGGGAACAGACAAGTAAACAATGTATTACAGTGCTGGGGGGTAGAACACTGCATGGATATCAGTGTAGAAACATCAAAGAGAAATTTTCTTAGGAAATTATATCTGATAAACTGTCTAAAAAATTACTACCAAAATGCTAGAGTAACTTTGTAATGTTACTTTTTAAATTTTTTAATTATTATTTTTATTTTATGTGTATGGGTGTATTGCCTGCATGTATGTAAGTGCACCTGTGTTGAGCAATGCCCATGGAGGTCAGAACAGGGTGTCATATCCCCCAGAACTGGAGTTAGGATGGTTGTTAGCTGCCTAACTAACTCAGGTCCTCAGTAAGAGCAACCAGTGTTCTTAACTGCTGAGCCATATCTCTGGCCACTCTCCTTTATTTATTAAAAAGTATATTTTTATTCCCAAACCATATTGCTGATTTTGGTTTGGTTTTTTGTTGTTGGAGGTCAGAACAGGGTGTCATATCCCCCAGAACTGGAGTTAGGATGGTTGTTAGCTGCCTAACTAACTCAGGTCCTCAGTAAGAGCAACCAGTGTTCTTAACTGCTGAGCCATATCTCTGGCCACTCTCCTTTATTTATTAAAAAGTATATTTTTATTCCCAAACCATATTGCTGATTTTGGTTTGGTTTTTTGTTGTTGCTGTTGTTTTTGGTTTTGTTTCTGAAGTTGTTACTAGGAAATAATTTGAGTATAGTCATTACCATATCCCAGTACCCCACCAGAAAGATAAGTTACTTCCTGTAAGTTACAACACTGCACTGCCACCTACGGCCTTTCATTCTATTACCCACCTGTTTTTCGGGTAAATGATGTCTATGAAGAGAGCTGAATCAAATTTAAAATATCCCTACAAGTATTCACCAACATACAGACATGTAGTCTTTAAAAAATTTTTTTTTTTTTTTTTGAGAAAGGGTCTCTGTGTAGCCCCAGCTATCCTAAAACTACCTATGTAGACCAGGCTGGCCTCAATCTCATAGAGATATGCCTGCTTCTGCCTCCCAAGTGCTGGGATGAAAGGTGTGTGCCACCACACCATGTATTGCTTTTAACTGATATGGCAGATGCATGTTATTCAGCTCCCTCCACCCCCAACTCCTCCTCAACTCCCCAACCGCACTAAAGCTGAGTCACCTGAATATAGAGTTGGAAAAATCCACAGTTCATTTGCAGTATTCCTCCTTTGTAAATCATTAAACAGACACACACTTGGACTAGTTTACTATGGCTGCCATAACAACATACCACAGAATGGATCGTTTAAACAGAAATGAAAATGAGAGAGGGAGAGAGTCAAAAATATGTCCTATATCTGAAAACTTGAAGTCTGCGAGCAAGGTGTCAGTCAGCTGGAGCTCTCCTGAGACCTCTTAGCTAATAGATCTTCATCTTCTCTGTGTGTGCTCAAATGGTATTCTCTCTGTGTGAGTAAACAGCTGGTACCTCTCTTCAAATTCAGTCGCATTGGCAGTTAGGGTTTCAGTGAATGATTTTGGGAGTGTACAATTCAGTCCATAACACATCACTTCTCCAAACCTGTATCTGTTCAGGATGGATGTTGTCGTCTGTGTTCTCCTGCACAATACCTTCAGAACAGTAGATGCGCAAGATATTTTTATATATCTTGCCTACCTTGTCCCTTACATAGAAACAATCACACCCACATCATGGAGCCCCAGAAGTCTTGTTTATATCATGGAAAGTCCTTTCCTCTGCCGTGTTGATAAGGAGTAGACACCTGAAACAATCTGGGCCTATTGAGGCCTTTATGCTTGAGGATTTAAATTGGAATCCAAATTCCCCATTTATTTTCTGAATAGTCTTACTATACAGGTTAAGAGCTGAGGCAGTCACAAGGAGATGGCTGCCTTCCGCTTGTTCAAGAAGAAGCTGAAAGTGCTAATCCGAAGGCAGATGGATAAAGAAGCAAAAGCAAACAGAGGAAATAAGAGACAAGAGCCCTGCATCCTGACAGCTTCAGGTTCCTGGCTCCAATCCCTGGGTATTCGTACTTTTTTTCCTGTGCAGTCTGGCATTCCATGATGTACTAGAGGAGGCTGGAGGTGGTTAAAGGCACAGGCTCTGGACCCAGACCACTTGGATTCAAATCTTAGCTCTAATGCCTAACAGTGATGTGACTTCAATCAAGTTACTTAATCACTCTGTACCCTTATTTCTTTTATCAAAGATGGACAAAAGTTGTATCTCATGAGTAGAAGTTGTTTTGAGTATAAAATAAACCAACATGTGGGGACATTCATATGTTGTTCATCATATTAAGCACTAAATATGTGTTAATTAATATGAACTAAATATATCCTGGAATGTTTATACCACAAACCATAGGACTTTATTTTGTTCTCGCTTAGAAGATAGACTACACATTACTGTTTTGTAATGATTTTCTATTTGAAGTTTAAGATAAGTTCTGTTGATTGAAATCAGAGCTTTGACTAAGATTATATTAGTCAAAGTTTAATTGCCCAGGCTATGAGATCTACAGCACTAATTCCACATCCAGTTTCTTGAACCGTTTCACCATTGAGCCATCCAAAACACACTGATGTGCTTGCTAATCAACAAAGAGGATCTGGAATGGGGTAGTCTGAACCATTGATGTGCTCATCCTAGCTCAGCCCATTCTGAATAAGTTTACAGAGGGATGGACAGGTTCCATGTAAGCAGCTGTTGGGTGACAGACAGAGGAGGTGCTGTTTCAGTGAGAAGTGATAGACGTTGTGCTTCATTGGTACGCTGCAAACTCAAACCACTGTGAAACAGCAACCATGGCCTGATAACATCCAGGTTGCAGGAAAATATATGTCAAAATCTTCACAAATATTTATTTTTACCCTTATCTCTCCACCTCTATTTAAGCAAGCTAAGCTGCTCTACATTTAAGGATTTAGATATGGAAGACAGAGAAAAAGAGAGGGAATGAGAGGGAAAAAGAGGGCTAAGAGTCTCTTCTTGGCTTCTGAGTATGCAATGTAAAGACTCTTAAACAGAACTGACTGTAGGATTTGTGGGACCAAAGCAAAATTAAAATGTGATGCGCTTGTTCAAAACTAACTGAAGAGCCAGTGAGATGCTCCGTAGATAAAAGTCATTTGGCCCACTAGCCTGGCATTCTGAGTTCAGTCTCCAGAACCCATGGAAAGGAGAAAACCACAGAGTTGTCCTCAGACCTCCACACATATGCCATAGCATGTACCCTCACCACACACACACACATCATGCAACATGCATACATACAATAATAATAAATGCAAATTTTAAGTGACTGAGAATATCAGTATGAAAACAGCAAACCATTAAACCAAGTACCAAGTCCTTGTGAATACAGGGTCCTGTGAGACTTCACAGTTTACAAACCCATAAAACCTGCCCTTTTCACAAAGGAGTCATGGTATAATAAGGGGTACGTGAGAAAGTACCATGATCAAAAGCAATCCTCGAAACTAAAACAGATTTATGACTGGGAAAGTAAGACACAGAGAACAAGGAAGTCCTGGCATTAGGGAGCAGAAAATGGAAGCACAAACCTGAAGGTATAGGGGAAAGATCTGGGTCCAGGGGTGCTCAGCCTCCACTCAAGCAGCATGACTTAGACCCTGATCAAAGCTGCTCTGCCCATTGTCAGGAGGGTAGAGTGTTCCTTCAAAAGAGCCTGTAGTTTGCCCAAACTTCCTACATGCCTATAGCATTTGACTACTTGCTTATACTTGGCCACCATGCATGGTCAAGCTCTTTTGCAATATCATACACCAATTATAAGTCATAAGAAAGAAGACACCATGTACAGTGCTCAATTTCTGATTTGGTGGGACTGAATGGAATAGGGATAAAACCCACTTTCTATACCAGCAGGAAGCAATCTTGTGGTGGTTAACAATCTCTTTAAGTTTGCAAGCTTAACTACAAGTCTCTAAGAAAAGTAAAAGACATGACA